CATTCTTCTGGTTTATGAAATAACCCAAAGAGAAGTCTCATAATTTTAAAAGCCAATAATCTGTTTTGCTGATCACAAATGAGAATGAAAAAAGAAAGAAATACACTCAATTTGTGAAAGGAACATAGTTCTCCCAGGGTGAGATCACTGGGTAGGCACAGAGTGGGGGAAATACCTTTTGCTGTAACTCTCTTCCGCTTATCTTGCCAAACTCTTACAGCATCTGAATGAAACCATCTGAGTGGTTTGACGCTGTAGAGGATCACAGTTATTTCAGTGTTCCTATTCGGTGGTATGCTTAATATTGCAGGGAAAAGTGCATGTTGGTGCATAGATAGAGTGATGATATTATGGTAGATAGATGCTCAGTTCATTTCAAATAAAATGTTAGATATTCTAAGTTCAAAACCCACATGAATAAACAGGCACTCTGCTAATGAAAACTTCCACCTGAGTGAAGTATCCATAGCAGGCAGCACATTCTGTTCAAGTTGAAAGACTATGCCAGGCCTGGTGGCTATGCCAAAGTCACCAATGAATTCTTAAGTGCCAAAATGTATTTCTTGCTTTTTTTGGGTGGGTGGGTGGGGGGTTGAACTCAGAGACTTGTGCTTTCTAGGCAGGTGGTCTACCACTTGAGCCACACCCCTTGCTCTTGTTTTTATTTTTCACTTTTATCTTTTGGACCCCTGGATGTCTTGGAAGCCTGTTGACCACACTCCTTTCCCATAGCTGCAGGAACATGCTTCTTCTTGCTCTTCCTAACTCCTGGGCCACACCATGTTCCTGTCCTTTGCTTTTCCTTTCCATTTATCAGTGTTACCCAAGGCTGCACTTTAGTCTTAGTCTTTCCACTCTGTTTGTTTTCCTATGGAAATCTTAGCTTGGCTTCTGTTTTTAACTTCCATCTGTATGTGGATGAATGCCAGCCGGCTCCCCCCTGCTCCCTGACCAAGCTCAGCTCCAGACCTGTGTGTCCAGCCCCCTGCTAGACACCTCCTCTGGGTGTCTAGCCTTCTCAGTCCAGGCTCCCTAGGAATCTTCCTAAAACACATTTCATCGTGGGAAGACAATCATCCAGTGAAGGGCAGTCTGACCACCACTGTGTGTGATTAAGAGAAGTCAATGTAACATGGACACCTGGAGAGGTCATTCTCCCCAGGCTCTGTCCAAGTGGCCTCCAGGGTCATAGGGCTCTGCCCCATGACATACAGTCCCCTTCCACAATGAGTTTGTGCCTGCATATTCCTGTGACTTCTCAGAGTCCTGTGGACAATAACCAAGGAGCCAAACAATTCAGGAAACACTCCTCTAAGAAAAGAAAACGTCAGCAAATTGAAAAATTTTCACACTTTATAAAACAAAGTGACATTTTTCTAAAAGAGGAGGGGAGAAGAGGAAAGAAAGGGAAGGGAGGAAGAAAGGACGGGAAGGATTCAAATTCTTTTTAGGACTTTGCCATGAGATAGTCCAGGAGTATTCAGGTTACATAGGATTTTCATGTACACTTGAACTTAATATCCACAGAGCCGTTGAACTGGGCTCACAAACACACAGCATGTTCCAGTTCACTGGAAGTGAAGGATCAAGTGAGGGGGCCACGTGGGTGTGGTGGGCCTCACCCTTCCCTCAGGACTCCTCTGTACTATGTGTGTGACATTTGGTTGGCCAACACCCAGGGGCTGATCAAGAATCTCCAGTCCATCCAGATGTTAAAAGCTAGTAAAGCTTACTTTCCAAGATGTAGGAGAAAAATAAGTCGAAGTCAGATGCTTCCTGTTTTCTTCCTTGTGTGTCAGTGGTTTGTCCTGTGCGCCCATCTTAATGATCCCAGCTCTAAAATCTCCCAGGCAAGGACTGGATTCTTTCTTAAGACCCTCAGCTACTTCAGTGTCTCCTGGCGCTCAAGAAAGAAAAGTCAGTGAATGAGGATTTTTCACTAAAGAATGTTGAATTTCATTTAGTTTGCTATCATTTTAAAAGCACACCTTTGGTGGAGAAAGTAACATTGTTCATTTTGAACTTGTTTTCTTGGCCGTGTTGGTAACAAAGGATGCGGAAGCAGGTTTCACAAGCCTCCTGTAGCAGAAACCATAGCTCTACAAAATAAATTAAATAAATAAATATATCCTTCAACTGTGTGTATTTTTTTTTTAACCTATCCAACCTTTGTTGTGTATACAAATCTCTTATCTAAGACCTTGCCGAAACACACTCTTCCAGGCAAGAGTTGGGCTTATTCTTGCTCTAGTTAAAATCTTCTTCAGTGCATTGTATTTGCTAGATGCAGAAGTGGAGCATCCCACACACTTTCCATATGGCGTCTGCCCTCTCTCCTCATAGTCTTCCCTTAAGAGTCACCCACTTGAAGAAAAGTTTGCACGTTATCTACACACCGCTCCCCCCACGCTCCCCACTCGATGTTGTATATCTGCTCGCTATTGCTTTAACATTTGGTCCTCTGCCTGGGGAGTGGGCGGGCCTCTTTAAGCCACCCTACTCCAATCTCCACAGAGAAAGCAATATTTTGTTAGGAGGTAAAGTTTCAAGCCAAGCTTTGGCCAGGGCTTTTCCCATGTGGGAAGAAGAAAGCAGGAACAGCCAGTGAGATGATAATTCTCCTTGAATTTGAGCTCATTAAAATCTTCCCTCGTCTTCTGAGGGTTATTTATTGATTTAAGCATCTACCACTTTTCTTTTCCAGAGAGAATTAGCATCTACAATACGTTGCTGAGGGAAGGGATTTTTGTCTTTTTTCTGTGGGACTCGTTGGACCCAGGTTGCTTATTAACACAGTCCACTTTACAGTTGTGTGTGGGTACGGAGCTGAGGGGCCAGAATGGGATTCCCAAGATTTATAGGTAATGAAAAGAACAGGTTGTATCAAAGGCACCACGTGTAGGAACCTGAGTGTTCTTGGGGGACCTGTGGGAACCTGTGACCCTTGGCTTTTTCCAAAATGAACCTCTCAGCATTACTCCCAGGGAGCTCTTTTTTATAGGTGCTTTAACGTGTTCTGTTTTGTTACTATTGTGCATGAAAGGTCTAACAAAATGACGTTTCTTATCTGCTGATCTGCAGCGAGTCTTAACATTTGCACCTCCTGAGGATTGCTGTGGTTGAATTTACGGCTGTCGTTTATGTAAATGAAGAAGTTATTTTTTAACCAGATGTTTAATATCGTCTTCCCAGCAGAACACTTTTTCCTTTAAACATAACATCACCCAAAAGTCTAATTGCTTTTCAGATCCGCCTGGAGAGATCAAGTGCAATTTGAACAGATCAGATCGCTGGGGATATTGACTGCACACGTCTTGGTGCCGTTTAGCAGCGCTACGGCCCTGTAGTGAAGAAGGGTGGTTACTTGGGCAAATGTCTCAGTCGGAGCTCTCTTCTCTGCTGAACGTGATTGATTCTCAGATGCAGTGCACTGCTATTCAGTGTGGTCTTCTGCTTCCTGTGCCGTAATAACATAAGGTGCAGAAAAGCAGTGGCGCCTTTTCCTGTTTGTGTGATCCAATTCATCGAATATTTCGGGGTGTTTCCTCTTAAAAGTTTGTTTCCTTGGCCCAATGAAAAGACATGCATTTAAATTGTTATCCTGGTTCCCGTTCTGTTAGGGGAGCTCAGAGCTATCCTCCATCTTGTCTCCTTTGTTCATAAGCCAGGTGGGACTGTCCTGGATCTGTGTCCCCTCTTTACTGTCTCTTGTTCCAACATTGCTAAAAGATACCAGCGGACATATCTTCTTGCCCAGGTAGCAAGAATTCTCAGGTGGAGGAGCGAATGTGTTCTTCCCCGAGATCTTTGGGAACCTGGAGAACCTGTGGAGGCGTTTGTGCTTTGGTGTGGTAGTGGGGAGAGCTTTGTCCTCCATTCCTTTATCTGTTTGAGCCCAGGAGCTCTGCAGACAGTTGTGGGCAGTGATGTCAAGAGGAAACAGCAAGGGAAGGCTGATCAGTGCTGGAGAGTGAAGGGCCGGCAGCATCCCTCTCTCTACCTCACAGGTGCCGCCCAGATTGGAGGCACCATGAGAAGTGGGACCAATCATCCAGGTCATTAAGCTCCACGAGCCGCAGCTTTCTTGTCTACTTAGCATAGCAGCACCGATCTCATGTTGTGGGGTGTTCATTGGTGTGAAACTGGGGGCACCTGGTGACGTGTGCAATGGCAGCTGTTTTCCTAAGGGTCTAACATTCGTTAGACATTCCTTCCACATCATCTGGTGGTTTGTGGTACCTGGACAGATGGTCATTCTTGTGAGATCAGAGACAACCTGTTGGCCTACTTCTAGCTTCTAGAGGGAACCCTCCTACCAGCCTTGTCCACCAGTGCTGCCTTATCAAAATACAGACAGGATGGCCTTGCTGCGTGGGGTGTAGTAGTGCTTACGTACTTTTCTCTCTCTCAGGAAGACAGTGAGAGAGCATGCAGTTGGACAAGAGGCTAACAGGGCTTCTTGTAAGATGAGATTCTCTCTCTAGCTCCCAACAGGCTTTCTGTGAATACGGCAGAAGCCCCATACAAGTCTCCTTTTGAGAGTACTATTGTCCTGGCCAGTACTGTGCTTGCCAGATCCTCACATGGCTTCACCACCTCAGCCCTGGTTTTCTAAGCCAATTCATGAATCAGAGTGCCACCTGTACACTCTCTTTTTGTCTTCTGTGACCAGCAGTAAAGTCCCCTCACCCTGTATCCTGATACTGCACTTGGTGGTGTGGTGGTGAAAACACTCTCACAGCAAATAAGGTGGAGTGACCGTCCTGAAGACGATGTAAAGTCCCCATTTTCTTTCTCTGTAGGATGTGGTAGCCATGTTCTGTTTGTCCTCATGCCTGCTTGAAAGGAACAAGTCAGGCCATTCCATCCATGAGTGCAGTTTGGAGCCAAACTCTGGATCTTTGGGTTTTATCTGTTTCTTTGACGTCATCTGACATAAGTAATCGGTCATGTCTTTATGCTACAGGTTAAAAGTGTCATTTTACTTTTTTTCTTTTTAGCTTCAGGAGGCTGACATTGTGGTCTTAGGTTCTCCTAAGCCGGAAGAGATCCCGCCTGAGTGGATCCAGCCAGGAACCACTGTTCTCCATTGCTTCCATGACTTCCTGTCAGGTAAATGTCTTCACATGGGTCGGGGGGCCACTGACTAAGGCAGGTGGGACTGTCGGGGGGAATGGCAACCTTGGTGGTTTAGAAGGGAGTGTGTTCCTAAGATGCTGGCTGTTGTCAGTATAGTGCACAGGAGACTTGAATGTTGACACACCTGTCTCTGGCGTTTCCTGATACTGGTCCATGTTGTGAGCAGAGAAAAGCTGAGATGTCAAAGGGGGTGGCTTCGCTCCCCCACTCACAACGAAGCGTTCCTTCTGGCTTCTAGTGACTGACATGAAAGTGACAAATATTTTATTTTATGAAACTCCCTTACTTTAGATGTTTCTTTTTAGGACCCTTATTTCGGGGAAAGGTATTCTTAAAAACTTTGTTTCAATGTCATAGCTCTCTTAGGAGACATGAAATATCAAAGCATTGTCTGTCTGTCTATATTTATTTAGTTAGTTTTGTTTTTTTGAGGCAGGGTCTCCCTGTGTAGCAAAGGTTGGCCTCAAACTCAAGATCCTCCTGTTTCCATCTTCTGAGTGATGAGATCACAAGCACGTACCACCTTGCACAGTGTCCAAACGTTATATTTTGATAATTCTAGAAGTAAACTAATTAAACCTAGCTTATTTTAAATTTATCTGGGCCTATTGTAGTAAATTTGTTTTGTTGGGTTTTTTTTCTTGTTGATCTTGGTCCACTCCAAAATAGTGCCTGATACCATAGTTAGCACTCAGTAAGCATCGCATGTTAAATGAGCAAGTAAACGTGGTCTCAGAGTTGTACTCTGGCTGTAGTAAAAGTCTTCCCTTGAACTTGACCCCCACTTAAACACAGGGATCACAGGGCAGCTGTGCTTGATTACATGGTTGACCCCTTTCCAAGTGCCATTTGTCACGATAGCATTCCATTTCGAAATGGTCAAAGGTTTCATTTTAGCAACTTGGACAATGTGAAAACTTACGAATAAGTTAAAGAAAGGTTTCCTTCCTGTCTGCTCTTCATAATCTTGCTACTTTAAGCAAATATGTAGACTTTTGGGAACTTTTTTTTTTTTTTTTTAAAGAGAGTGCTTTTGTTTAAAGGCCAGAAGAATTTTTAATATGCTCATGGCTGGGTGAAGGTGAGTTTTATAGTGAAATTTCATTCTTGTTCTTATAGTGATGCAGGGTTCCTCCACCACCACCCTGCCCTCTGTAAAAGCAGAGAGGACAATGGTGATTTATGATGAGGTAGTTCTGCAGAGATGTGTTTATTGAATACCTGATCCTGGGAGAACTTTTCCTGATGACTGATGCCCCAGAAGTCACGCTCAGAAAACGACCCAATGTGTTCAGTCTGTTCCATCCACTCTAGCAGGAGTTCACGGTATAGATTTTAGAAACAGAAACATCAAAATTCGGTTTTCTACCTATACAATTAACTACTTTTAATTTTTAATTATTTTTATTGAAAGAAGTGTGCTGTGGTCTTACAATGCCTCGCTTGCTAAAGAGTGAGATCGTCTGTCCTCCAGTGTTGGCTCTTGTTGATGGATGGATGTACCTGGCAGGACGACAGAAGTTGACCATATGTCTCAGGTCCAGAAAACAGGATTAAAAGCCACCTTGTGGTTCAGAGGAGTTTGCAGCATCACTTAAACTGATGTAGCCCTGTGTAGTGTGTAGTGGGAGGACCATAAGCCAATGACGGGGCTTGTGGTAATGAACTAGGGGATCCTGAGGGACTGTGGCCCTTCCCTTGTATGGTTCTCTTTACAGTATGATGTGGTGGAAAGGGTATCAATTTTAGAGTTAGGATTACCTGTCTCAAAGAGAAGAGAATTGGGTTTTTTACACTCTTAGTTGCATTGTACCTATAGGCTGTGTGTCTTCAAGGAAATGGTGTAAGCTCTCTGATCCTCATTCTCCTTGTAGATAAATAAAATGTTGGGAGGAAAAAAAGAGTGATATATCAGGTGCAGAGCTTCTTTCATCATAGCTGCCAGTAAGTGTTGACCCATTACCTCTCCTTCCTCCCTCACGGCACACAAAACAACTCCATTACCTCCACTCCCTCCTTCACCGCCCACAAAACAACTCAGATTCTCCACAGCAGGATGCGTGTGTGTGTGAAAATCGTCCCAATGAAGGGAGAAGTCCAGTGAAATTGTGAAAATGTAAGAAGGTAGCTTTAAAGAATTGGACATACATGTCACTTAGCCATCCAAATACATTTGAAATAAAGTAAGGATAATTGGCTGGGTGTGGTGGCTCAATCCTGTAATCCTAGCTACTTGCAAAGTGGAGATCAGGAGGATCAAGGTCAGCCTGGGCAAAAAGTTAATGAGACCCCCATTTCATTTAATGAATAACTGGACACAGTGGTGTACTCCTGTCATCCCAGTGATGTGCAAATAGGAGGATCATGGTTCGGGCTAACCTGAGCATAAAATGAGACCCTGTCTCAAACATAACTAATGCAAAAAGGGCTAGGGGTGTGGGTCAAGTGGTAGAGAATGTCTGCCTGGCAAATGCAAGGTATTGAGTTCAGTCCCTAGTACTGCCAGGAAAAAAAAAAAAGTAAGGCTATTTGCTTATGATTTTTTAAAAATCCATTGTGTGTATGACTGGTTTTCCTTTTTTTGGCAGTGCTGGGGATTGAACTGCAGGCCTTGGGCATAGTAGGCAAGTGCTCTACCCCTAAGGCTACATCCCCAACTTTCTTTTTTCCTATAAATTCTGGATGATTTAGCTCTGTCCCTGAGATACAGTCCCAGTTTTCCATTTCAAATTTTACTGAGATCTCAAATCCCATATATTTAGATTATTTACTCTTTAACAGGGTGTGAGCCACTTAGATGCCCTGTAATCGATTCCTTCCTAGTTTGGTTTCAGCAGTTCCCGAAGGGCTGCTGTGTAAGTCGATAGTAATAATTTAATGGTACTCCTTTCTTCATGTCTTCCATTGTGTGGTTTTTAAACGGCGGTACGCTGTCACTTGGGGGTGGGCTTTGATTGATTTATTCAAGGGGGCAGCTCATCACTGGTTGTTGTTTGGGTTTTTTCAAGGTTTTATCTATAGTAATTTCCAGTTTTTAGCTCTTCCTAATTTTGAAACATGACGTACATTTTTTGGAATAACTTGCCACTTAGAAGGGAAAGCACATCTGAGAGTCAGTTGTGTTAGAGTACCCCTGGCTAGCCTGCCTAAAACCTGAGCCGAATGCTGCAGCAGGAAGAAGATGTAGGGTGGGGAGAAGGGGGGATTTTCTGTGGCCCTCCTGTTTCACTTATTGTGCTGGCAGACTTCCCAGGGTGGTCTCAAAGCAGCTCATGTTAGGGAAGGGGCTCTGACAGAATAACATGTTAGCCGTAAATTTTCTTATTGCAGAAAATTTGGTTATCATAAAATGATTTATAAATGTATCTTTTACAGTGATTCATTGACTTGTCCCTGGAGGAACTGTGAGTTAAATGAGAGTGTTTAGTGGGAAGTGAAAAGACCCATCCATGGTTGGGAACAGGACCCCTGTTCCACTCTGGTACCTGGAGGGTTGCAAGGCCCAGACTGCAGACAGCGTCCAGGTGGAGTCCTGCCTTTACACCAGCAGGGGGATGAAATAATGATTTCCTCTCTCAGGTCCCTTTTGCCTTAAAATTTCCTGAGCATATTCCTGATTTGCTGAGTTCCCAGTGTTCATTGATTCAAATTCTCTAGAATCAGCAGTTTAGATTCGTGTCAATATTACATTAATTGCTACTACAAAAGCAATTCAGTGCTCATGATAGCTAATCTGCAGAATATAGGTGAGTAAACAGACAAAAATGAAAATAATATCGGGGACCCCATCACCTCCAGATAACCATTTTACATGGTTCCATTAAAACATCATTAAATTTAACTATGATTCTAGTAGAAGGAAAAGAAAATAATATCATACCAAACGCATTACTGAAATTCAGATATCCAGTTCTTCAAAAAGAAAAGCACTGGGTCCTGTAAGATTCTTGTAAGGTTTAAAGTATGTGTATATGTGTGTGCGTATAAATAATTAAGAGATTGGGGGTTTTGCGGTGTGTCTTTGAGTCTTTGTTGTTGTTTGTAATTGCATGGTTTTTAATAAGCCAAAAGTTAACTTTGCAAGTAGTAAGCCATAGTTCACTGTACATAAAATCCCAAAGGCAGCCAAGCACTGGTGGCTCACACCTGTAGTCCTAGCTACTTGGGAGGCTGAGATCAGGAGGATCAAAGTTCAAGTCCAGCCCAGGCAAAATGTTTGTGAGACCCTCCCCCCTCATCTCCAAAATAACCAGAGCAAAATGGACTTGGGGTGGGTGCATAGCTCAAGTGTGAAGCCTTGAGTTCAAACCCCCATCCAAGCCAAAAACAACAAAACCGAAGTCAGCACTGTGTGCACAGTCGGCTTGACCGGCTGCTAGTGAGCATCCTCTGGTTCCCTGAGGCCCACTGCTTTGTCCACATTTACTTTTGGTATCTATTGACTCTGAGCTTTGAACTTCTGCAGGGTCCATGAGGAAGAGAAGGTTTTACCTAGTCATGGGTCTCTGTTAACATTGGGATGTCTCAGTCCAACCATACCTGCTACTCTCTTTCACAAATTTCGCACGATTTCTGGTCCACTTGGGGCACCTTTTTTGCTTGCATGGATCTGTTTCCTTGTGTTGTGGGCTGGAAGAAGAAGAGGGTGTTGTGTATACTGCCTGCTGTCTTGTGTGGTTCATGCCAGCCTCCCCGGTGGCTCATCATGCTTGTTGAAATTGTTTGTGGCATAGTTTAGACATACCAAAACAGCATACTCTCACTTTTGCTGAGCTGTATGTTGTTCAAGTGCCTGAAGTTATAGGAGTAATTCAATATGTAACTGTGTAGGTGAAATAACTCTTTCCTCACTTGAGTATTTGTGCTTATGTTTTGATAATGTCCATTTATTAATTGATACCAGCTCCCACTTTGTCTTATTTCTCTATCACTTAAATGCAGAAGAATGAGGAAGGCATATTCCTTTTCTATAGTAGTTGGACAAGATTTTAAGCTCAGGTCTCTAGTGGTTAAAACAAAACAAAACAAATCTCTCTCATTCTCTGACTTTTGCCTTTTGCTTAGATATGAGTTATAAAACTGCAGCATTGCTAATCTTTAAACAATGCTTGGGGTTATGATTTTCTAATACCATTAATACATTTGACAATAAAACATCACAAGACACCTACTCTAAAGTGTTTTGTGCAACGTGTTGTCAGCAAAGTGGATGATTTAAGAGCAGAGTGGTCCACAGAAAGAAGAAAATAGTTTCTTTAATTCAAAAAACTTGCCATTAAGAACACTTCTTTCTTCTAAGGGAGGATGAAACCTAGAGCAGTTTGCGTGTGTTTACTTTTTATAATTTTTAAATGCTAACTAAAGGAGGCAAGGTGGAATTCTTACCAGTGCCTCATGTTGAAAACCAGGTGTGTGAGCCTGCTTTCTGTTTCTGTGACTAAATACCTGAGAAAATCAACTAAAAGCAGGAAAGACTTATTTTGGATCATGGTATCAGAGGTTCCAGTCCATGGTCACTGAGCCCTGTTGCTTTGGGCCTGTGACGCACAGGGCACCATGGTGGGAGCACATGTCAGAGGAGCTTGTTCACTTCGTGTCCATCAGGAAACAGGAAGAGGAAGGGGCTGACTTCTCAATATGTCCTTCAAGGGCACTCCTCCAGTGACCTAACGTCCTCCCACGAGGTCCCACCTTGGAAAGATTCCACCACTGCCCAATAGCACCATAGGCTGGCCCCTTATACATGGGTCTTCGAGGGACACTCCAGATCCAAAATGTAGCACCAGATAATCCCTAAAAGTTAATATTCTAAAATGTAACTTCTTGGTTTTGATGGAAAATTGGTCATATGACTTTTATGACAGATTTTTTTCAATAATCAAAGAAAACCTGATCTTTCATAGCATGTGGCTGGACTTGTTCTGTGCATTTTTTTTTCTTTTTTTGTGGTACTGGGTTTTGAACTCAGGGCCTCATGCTTGTGAGGCAGGCGCTCTACCAGTTGAACCACTCTGCCAGCCCTTTTTTTGTGCGTGGGCGGTTATTTTTGAACTATTTGCTTGAGTGGGTCACAGTCCTGATCTCGGCCTCCTGAGTACCTAGGATTACAAGGTGTGAGCAACCAGGGCCCGACGACATACATGTGTTTTTTATTCCCTTTCTTAATAACTCCTGTTGACAAGCAAAATTGCACCCATTTCTCATGTATTAATCAGTAAAAGATACAGGTCCTTCAAATAACACGAAGGCCTCCTTGGGTCAAAAACCACCAAGTGTTTCTGGCGCATTAGGCCATGGGACACAGATCCTTGTCCTTTTCTTCCAAGCTGTGTCTTTGCTCTAGTAGTTTAAACATATACACTGCACAACAGGCATTTCACATACAACACCTCCCTTTGTTTCACAAAATTCTTTGAGGTTGATTTTACCCACACTACCTACAAGGCCCAGTCAGAATGGCTAGTAAGAGGGGGAGGCATGATTTTAATCCAGGTTTAACCCTGAGGTCTGCCTGCACACTGAGTGTTGCAAATGTTCACTGTGAATTTTTTGAATAACTTGTGTTTTTATCTATTAGAGCCTTTTTTAGGGGAAAGCGGGTCTCATTGTCTAGCCCAGGCTGACCTCGAACTCATGATCCTCCTGCCTCTGCCTTCCAAGTGCCAGAATTACAGGTGTGGACCACCATGTCCAACTAATTCCATATTTTAAAAAAATCACGATATGCTACTTGTGGTTGTTTGAAGAGACTGTGTGCCTAGATGTTTCTCTCTGGTTAGGGGTGAGATAGGATTTCCCCAAGCACAGTGTGCTTTGTTAGATCACACCTCTGCCTAGCTAAGGTGAGTAGCTTAAGTAAACATTTCTCTGATTTAAAGTACAAAACAGGTCCGAGCACAACCTAAGGCTGTATCCCTGATCTCCTAACTTGGGTGAAAAATGAGACCGCTTTGCAGTATGCTGGGTTTTTCCAAGGAGTAATTGGTTCTAAGATTCTAAATGACAGTAAGCTGAAAGTCTCCCCCCCTTCCCCCTTATGTTTCTTGCAGGGAAGCTGAGAGGTGGTTCTCCCTGGGTGCATGGGAGTGGACTCATTGCAGAAGGTGATGTGAGCCTTCTTGCTGCAGCTCTGCGGATTCAGGTTTGTTTGACAGAGCTATTTGAGAGGTTTCAGTTTGGAGGTCTTAATAAGAGCTGCTAACATGTTGCAGGTGTTTTCTGTTTGCCAGGTACTGTGGTAAACTCTTCATAAACCTGGTGTGAAGCCCATTTGATAAATGAGGAAATGGGTCGAGAAAAATGAAATTGTTTGCCCATGATTATGTGGCATATAAGGGGCAGGAGCCAAACCAGGGTCTCTGAAATCCCAGCATCCCCAAACACAGCAGCTGAAAGCATTGAGCCTCCGTCGTCTCACAGGCCCTGGGGGTCAGAGACTTGGGAGCCCATTAGCTGCACGACTCTGACTCAGCCTCTCCAGAGGTTGAAACCAAGACACTGGCCAGCCAGAGTTTCAGTCATCTGAAGGCTTGCCTAGAGGTGGAGGATTGGCTTCCAAGATGGCGCCCACACATGGCTGTTGGCACTTGGCACAGTGTCCTAGCTCCTTCTCCCCTGGACCTCTCCATATGGGGTGGCTCACAGTGAGGTGGCTAACCTTCCCCAGAGTGAGTGATCCAAGGGGAGAGCCAAGAGGAGGCCGCAGTGTGTTTTATGGCCTAGTCTCTGATGCACACAATGACACTTCCTGATTTCCTGTTTGCTAGAAGTTCACATTCAAGGGAAAGAGAATTGGGCTCACCTCCTAATAGATATTTTTGAGTCACCATCATCTATGGGACCTAAGCTCAAGCACCCGCCCACCCCCAAACTCTTCACTTGGTAACCTGAGTGCTGTCATGGTGCTGGGAGCACAGGGATGGTGCTGCTGACCCCAGCACTAACGACAATGGGGAAACCAGAAGCTCTCACTGCTGCCGCAGCAGAACTAAACACAAGCACGCTTTAGGTCATTCTTTCTTACGCACAAAGTAATACAAAATCTTTATGCTTTGCTAAGGATTATAAGTTACATTACAACTAAAGCCAAAGCTTATTTGTACTTATTTGATTTCACATATATTTTATACACATGCACGAGCACATATATCACTATTCAGTAATTCACATGCTTATTCATTTCTATAAACTTCAAAGGATACTATTGTTTTTTAATTTATTTTTTGGTAATACTAGAAGTTGAATTCAGGGCTTTGTGCTTGCTACACAGGTACTGTGGTATTTGAGCCACACCCCCAGCCCTTTTCGCATTGGCTAGTTTTGAGATAGGGTCTCACTTTATGCCCAGACCTGGCCTGGACCACAGTCCCCCCTATTTGTGCTTTCACATGCAGTTCGGATAACAGCCATATACCACCATGCCCAACCATTGGTTTAGATGGGGTCTCGCAAGTTTTTTGAACTGCTGTCCTCCCAATCTGGCATTACAAGCTTGAGCTACTTGGCCAGCCAGAATGGTATTTTAAGTGGTGCTGCACATTTTGAATGCTGGACATCCAAACTGACCTTTCACACCATAATTTCCATCATTTTTCCTTTCTAATAGAGGTGAGGAATCTACTCGTTACAACACTATCTGCACAACTGATGTCTTTTGTGAACACTTAAGCTAGTTTAATGGTGCACATAGTTCAGTTCACATTTTCCTTTTTCAGCAAACCCCACAAGCCCGACTACATGTAAATAAAATGGTCGCTAATATTCCTTCGGCTGATGTCTGACTTTATGATCCATTTTGCTTAAGTGCATTCTGTGTTGCTCTCACTTCTGTGCCCCCTTTTTCTCCCTCCCTCCTGAAGAACATGGTAAGCAGTGGAAGGCGGTGGCTCCGTGAACAGCAGCACAGGAGGTGGCAGCTGCACTGCTTGAAGCTACAGCCTCTCTCCCCAGTACCAAGGTAACACGGGGCTCTGCACACTGGCGGCCTTGCACCAGAGTCTCACTTAGCCCCTGCATGGGGCCACGCTCGTGCTATTTTGATTTTGGTGGTGGATAACTTTCTCTAATCATCCAATTGCCGTACAATTTTTCTCTATCATAAATTCTGCAAAATTAAATTGTGGTGGCCATGTTTACCACATCCCATCAGTTCTAAGAATGCACAGTATTGGGTTTCATTTCAGTGACGTGTCCTATATGACGTGGCAGCAATGGTTCTAATCTAAGCAGTGGCTTTTGATTTGACAGATATGATAATGCAGTGTTTGGAACCTGCTTGTCACAGCAGCAGTAGCCTTGTACCTTGGGGGGTGAGAGACCAAGCAAGCCAGGTGCCGTCAGTCCGTGTTGGGGCTGCACTCAGCTTTCTTCATATTGCCTGGTGTAGGACTCGATGAGGCGTTTTCATCACAGTGGTGTCTAATGAGGTCTAAGCTGCATACTCCCTTTGCATAAATTTGAAGATGCAAATTGCAGGATATAATCTCAGCATTTGATTTAAGGTAATTAGTTAGACATTAGAGCTAAAAACAGGCATTTTCCAGACTCCTGAGTCATCCGTGTGTCTGTCCCAGTGAATTGGCCTCACCACTGTATCCAGAAGTGCGTACTGCCATGGCACCTCCAGGTGATCCATCCAGCAATTCCAGATCACACAGTGTCAAATGACACTGTGTCTATTAATATAAATTTAGCCAGTAATTGGCTAGCTTTTCACCTGATAAGCAGTTGCTTAAGAGTTGGCCTCCATTCCCTTGGATGGTCAGCTGACCACTGTGACTCGATCGTACCCACCACGCTGTTTTTATCCCCCCTCTTAGTCTTCCTGTGTTTATCAACATGTAAATTCCAATGAGGGATGTTATTCTTTGTAATGTCATCCCTGTAATTGTACAATCTGATTCATAAAATATCTTGCTTTTTGAAGTTATGTATATCATAGGTCCTTAGTTTTTACAAGTAAATCAATAAATTGTACATAGAAAGCTAAAAAAATTTAAGTAGATACCATCAAATTGTGTACCAGGATCTGTCAAAGTGAACGCTGCTTGTAAAAGGGGTGGCTTAGTTCAACCAGATTTGATTTCTAGAGCCACTGGGGAAAAGAAAAGCAGGCTGAGTAGTTTATAAATGACTTAAAAACTCAAAATGACCCTCGGTGTGGTAGTGCACACTTGTAATCCCAGTGCTCAGCAAGGTTTGAAAATTCAAAATTCAAGTCCAGCCTGGAATTCATATACATAGGAAGACCCTATCCAAAAAAAAAAAAAAATCACTGCGACTCTTTAGTAAGCAAAGAGAAAACTGTGGAAATTCTCCAAGTTTAGGCTCTTCCACCAAAAAAGAGTAAGTAATGGTGTCAGAAATGCCAAGGCAAAAACCTCTTGGACTAGCAATATACACTTTAAAAAAAAAAGAAAGAAAGAAAGAAAATGAAGAGCCAGGTGCTGGTGACTCATGCATGTAATCCTAGCTACTGAGGAAGCAGAGATCAGGAGGATTGCAGTTCGAAGCCAGCCTGGGCAAATAGTTCGCAAGACCCTATCTCAAAAACCCCTTCACAAAAATGGTTGGTAGAGTGGCTCAAGGTGTAGGTCCTGAGTTCAAAACCCAGTGCCAGAACAAACAAAAAAAGAGGGACAGGGGTGTAAAACAAGACTTTTCCAGGGGTGGGTATTATTGGTGGGGGGCGCATAAGGAAAGGTAAATGAAGGTAAATATGGTGGGTGTATTTGTATTCAAATATGAAAACAGAAAATTGAAGCCTATTGAAATTGTTCTAAGAAGGGGAAGAGAGAATGACAGAGGGGGTGAATCTAAGATACATTGTAAGCACATATATAAATATTGCCAAGTTAATAAAAGAAAAAACCAAACATTAGATTCTTCATCAGGAGATGATAAGAAGAAGAAAACAGAAAAAACAGATACAGTCAAGAAGGTAAAATGAAGCATGATTCTAGAAAGAGGGACGTGAGAGAGCTCTAGAAAGGCCTGTGCTAGGAGGCCTGTGGCAAGCCCAGAGCTCAGTCCTCACCACCCGAGGTGTCTCCCTTCCCCTGGCTTCTCTGACGTCCTCTGGTGTGCATGTTCTGTTACCTCCTGCACCACGCTCAGAGCGCTGCAGTGTCATAAAGGAGAATTTTGACTGAGTAGATTGTCCACTGCAACCACAGAGAAAAATCAGACCCAAGGGATCACTTGTCACAGAGGGAGTGGTCTGCTACTCACAGCAGAGACCACAGTGCTAACCATAAGTGCTCCATGGAGACTTGGGGAGTGGCTGTCCTCTCTGGTGTGACCATCAAGAGCAGTTCCTCGACACCAATTCTCCTTGCTCAAGACTCTCAAGGTTCCAGGTTAGCCCTACTGCTGGGAGTAAGTGTGCCTCCCACTTCTCACTCAGACAGTGGTCAGTCAGATAGGTGGACATCATGCCCCCAATAAGAGGTATGCCTGTACACGCTGGTGTTGGAAATACTCGATAAGACCTGCAGCCACATATTCACCTTGCAGTAGAATTGAAGTTAAATTAGGTACCCAGTGTACTTGGCACTCCTCATTCTGAACTTGACCGTTGGGTCCAGGGTCCTTGCACCAACAGTTACATAATTCATAAAATATTGTGAAATATGGTTTTGGACTGGACATAAGGAGAGGGAAAGGATGAACGGAGGTAAACAGAACAGCTTTTCCACCTTGTTGACTAGCCACGAGGCACATGTGGCCAGCCTACTAGGAGAGCATTGTGCAGTGACCCTGTTCACTGGTCCATCTGGAGCGCTGTGCTCTGTAATGGACTCGCCCTTGACCGTATGGGAATACACAGTGCCCTCTCCCTGTGACACAGGGCACATCTATCCTTGTGCCTGACACAGTGTTAGCACCCTGGTTCACATCTCCTAAAAAGCACACTTTCTCATGCACGTTCATGTGCTTCATCCTGCCTGGGAGAGAGGACAAGAAGGCAATGGTGTGGATTTAATCGTTGGCGGGGCTTATGGCTGTTTTTCATTCTAGCAGTGACCACCTAAGCTGCGAAGACTTTGCTGCTTTTGTGTTTCTTTCCCTCCAGTGATATTGAGATTTCCAGAGGACAGACTCCAAAAGCTGTGGCTGTCCTTGCCAAGGAGATAGGACTGCTTGCAGATGAAATTGAAACGTATGGCAAAAGCAAAGCCAAAGTGCGTCTGTCTCTCCTGGAAAGGTTAAAGGATCAAGCAGATGGGAAATACGTCATAGTTGCTGGGTAAGGCTACATTTAAAATCTTCTCCACTGAGGAGATGGGTTTACAAAACTGTCTTCCACGTTTATTTCTGTCCTCAATACCCCTCATGTGCATCCTGTTCTCAAATTTGATACTATTTTGTCCATTTCACTTGGCATTCCTGCATTTGGCACAAGATGGGGTTTTTTTGTTGTTGGTTTTTGTTTTTTACAGTACAGAACAAATTAGTCCCTTCTATGAAATCTAAGGTATAACAAGTTGCGAATCCAGTACCGTCACCTTTGCTTCTCATGTCATGTTGTGTGGTGAGCAGCACTCATCTCCCTGAGCTTTGTAATTTAGTTGTTCATGACAGAAGTCAAAATAAGAATTGTAAGCCCATTATTTTGAACTGGGGGGGTTTGGGGTTTTTTTTGTTCGTTCTGTGTCCTCCTTAGAAATAATAGTTTAATGACGAATGTATGGATAATGGTGTGAAACTTATATTTTCTCATTAATATCCTGGGTTTCTTTTTCATGTACTTATGTTAGAAAAATCTACGATTTCTTTTCCCTTTTCATGCATTTCAAAACTAACATTGGTTATTTTATGAAAGAAATTCGTATTTTATGAAAAGCAATTGCTTTTTTTCCCCCTTTTTTAAAAAAGGGAAAATACATTCACCAGCTGACAAGATGATGGAAAACAAGGGATTTGAACTATTTATTCTACATGACCTAAGGGAACAGCGAGAGACCTCATGAATTCCTGTGTTGCTCTGACATTTCATTACACTGACTCTGCCTGTGAGACCCAAGCCAAGCCTTGAGGCCCAAAACGCCTTCGTTAGGCAGAAACATTTCTTAAAACTGGACTTGACCCACAGTTAACTTTGCTTTTACAGAATACTCCTCATGTCTTTTCTTTCCTCCCGTTTGATGGTTATTTTTTTTAAAAAAATTCAGTCTCAGTGTAAAAATATTCCAGAAATACAGCAAGTAAACTGGAGAGTGGAAGACCCTAAATTCTCCCACCCACCCAAAGGAGACAGCTGCTCATATTAGGCCCACCCCGACCCCGCTGACCCTGCAGAAAGTAGGATCACACCATGAGTGCCATGTCAGAGGCCTTCTTCCGGCAGTCCTGTGGGTGAATGTGGAACCATGGCTGTTTTCAGGATTATATGACAAGCATCCCTGTGCTCACATCCAGGGTGGGCAGAGTGAGAATGCCTGGGATGACGTGGGCTCTGTTCTTCACATTTTCCAAGCACCTCCAACTCCATGGAGAGGCACTGCCAGGGCTCACCGTTGATAGTGTAGCATGTTTCTGATTTTTCTTAACAGGCAGAAGGCTTGAAAGTGTCATAGGGAAGTTTCATATTAGACTAATCCTATCCTGATGGCCATCTAAATCATTCTCAGTTTTGGGCCAGTATAAGCAGTGTGAAGATGAACCACCTTGGGAAAAGGCGTGTTTGTGTGTTTGTCCAACCCTCTCCTTAGGGAAGATCCCTGTATGGCCGTTCACCACCGGTGGGCCTTAGTATCTGGCAGCGGGTTGGTTCCAGGACCATGGCAGACACTGTAATCTGCTGATGTCCAAGTCCCTTCTACAAAAATGATGTGGTATTTGCATATAACCTACCCACATCCTCCTGTATACTGACTATCCTTATCATGCATTACTTACAATACCTACTACAGTGTTAATGCTATGCAAATACTCACTACATTGTCTAGAGAATAATGACCAAAACAAATTCTGTACATGTTCAGTGCAGACATCATTTTTTCCTTCTTCCAAATAATTTGGTGTAGCCCCTCAGTTGCCTGTGGCTTAAACATTCCTTCTGGGGCTCCCAGGCTCACTGCCTTTGGACTCTCAAGTTCCTTTCCAACCTAGGACCCCAGCCCTAATATCCCCATAACTGAGCACCTGAAGGAAGATGTTGACCCTCCCTGCAGACACCCTCTGGTGTCTCAAAAGCAGCCAGCTACTTGGCAGGAAGCATAGTCATTTCTGCCTCCTGGGCCTCTGGTGCATCCTTCTAGTGTGGGCTGATTTTATGAAAGTAAGCTTGATGTAAGTTTGCTTGCAATGAATAAACATGCTCTTGGATGTTAAGATGTTCAAAAGCATCTCATGGGTGGATTTGCTACCTTTTTCCAGGCTTTAGGTAATCTTTTGTGAGTTTTCTCACTGTTTAAGGCTGGAGAATTGGGACAGGTGATAGAGCACTTGCTAGCATGAGTAGAACTTGGATTCTATCCCCACTGCTGGAAAAAAAATAATTGTTTAATACTGGAGGATTTAAAGAGAACTCAGGAAGATGTCTGAGTATAAAGAAGACCTGGGGCACTTTTTCTTGTGAAGTGGCTGTGATTTACTCTCTTTTGGTTTTCTGTACATTGGAAGTAAAAACACAAATCTAGACATGGCCCTGCCTTGAACTGGGAACACAGAATTGATACTTCCAGAGCAAAAGCTATGATGATTGTTATTAGGTTCCAAACTTGTAGTCAAACCATCACGGCCTGGCCACATGCTAGACATGTGAGCTAGCAGAGCGGACTGAGACCACCAAATGTCGACCTGTCCTTAGAGCAGTGCTCCACACTGGCCCTCTGCTGGCCTGGGCACATGTATCTGAGCTCGAGTCAGCTGCTCATGTTGTAAATAGAAATGAAAATCAAAGCTGAGTTCTCAAGTAGGGATTTGGCAGCAAAAGATCAATAGTTCTTTTTTTCTGAAATTGTGTTTTAAGGTCTCTTACTTACCAGAGACCCTAGAGGGAACAAAAATTAAGTGGTCTTCATTTCAATTGCATTGACAGCCCTCCTCCAAAGGCTCCATTTTGTGATCTATACTTAGTTATAGCAGAGCTTGAAGGTTTCTAGAAAATGTGTATCATACTCTATTCTCTAAGGGAAAAATAAACAGACTCCATGCTGTCCATATTATAAGTGATACATTTTTAAATGTGTTAAATCCTTTTAGAGCTGGATGACTGAGATCAGTCAGTTTCAAAGCACAGATATTTTATTTATAATCTAAAAAAGAAAGTAAATTTGAGTTAATATTCACCTCTATATTTTTACTTTTATTTGGGTTAAAAGTTAAGGGATGGGTCGGGGGCATGGCTCAAGTGGTAGAGCTCCTGCCTAGCAAGCACAAGGCCCTGAATTTAAATCCCAATACCGCAAAAACTTTAAGGGAAATCACATCCACTCATATGCACTTTTTCAAAAATATAAATGAACCCTCCATCAAGTTCCTTTTTCAGAAAGTCTTTTCATTCTGAAAACAATATTGGCTATTGATATCGAAATCTAACATAAAAAAAATAAGGCAAAAACTCAATCCCTTCTTACTCAAGAGTGTTGAATGTTTTTTCTGTTTCCATCTAGAATTTTACCTATGTATCCATCATTCTCTCACTTTTAAGATCATGCTAGAAATGTCACTTTGTGTCCTGCCTTTTCCCCTGAACTCTGAACCATAGCTATTTCCCCATGCTTGAGAAGAAGTCACATACCCAAGAAAATTTTCAGTAAATCCAAATCACAGTACACTGTGTATTGTTGTACACTGAATCGTGCGTAAGTGTGACTTAAATATATCAACAGAGGGTTTAAAATAAAGAGCAAGATTTAAAAAACAAAACTTATATCATTAGTAACCCAAATGCGGAACAGATTAATTCATTTGAAGAAGCCATTCTTCAGACTGTCGGATTTCTTTTTCAGTGGGAATCATCTGTATATCGTCAGCTACACGTCACGTGGTATTTCCACCTACACATCACTTTATTTGCCTCGCCTGACAAAAGGAAAAGTATCGCGAATTGTTCAGGGAAGGCTGCCAAAGGAATCTTAGGGGCTCTTGAGTTTTACATATTTTCCCAGTTACACTAGTGAAAAGGAATCTTGTTTGAGAGCCTGACCAGAGCGCAGCTGCTGGTTATTATGAGTGTGCACTTGGTCTCCACTGGGCCGGCACCAATTTCCATGCAGAAGATTCTCGAATTTCTTCCAATTGCTTGGACAGAGAGCTTAAAAAAAAAAGCCCAAACTGGTCTGTGAATAGACTGAATTTCACACTGAAGACACATTAAGGTCACTCATGTCACTTCACCTTTTTTTTTTCCCCTGCAGAATGCCAGACACCTGACTTGATTTTTTTAAATATTTTAACTCATTATTTTGGTGTAGTACAAAAATAACCCTATAGACGTCTTAAAGATTTTGCCTTTCTACCTTAAGCAACTCAGTATTTGTGAGTTTTTCTTTTATTTGTACTTCTCACAGACTAGAACAAAGGGATTTTGAAGAAACCGCTACCAACAGGGCCTTTGAACTATTTACCTTGGTCAAGTGTAATGGGAAACACAACCAAATGGCCTATGGAGTTTATTGTTAGATAGTGAAAGGCTTTAAAAACCCTCCAAATCCTAAAGATGTCTGGGGTGAATGGTACTGATTCATATGTGGCTTGAGCATGTCGTGTTTTGGGGGGTTTTTTGGTGGTACTGGGGATTGAACTCAGGGCCTCATGCATGCGAGGCAAAGCTAAACCACTGAGCTGTGTCCCCAGCCCCAAACATGTGGTTTTGGGGTTCATAGTTAGACCATGGCTGCTCAGCAAGGTACTCTGGATTTTCAGAAAGACTGTCTCACCCCTGGTCTCTGTGTCAACGATCTCTTTGACTTTTGAGCAAATGGTAAAGTACTTTCGGATTGTGTCCAAATTGTTACAGAAGTATTTTGACAAATTTTTACTGTAGTTGACAATAAACAACACTTGTCTGATCAAAGGCATCATTAATTACACCGTCAAATGTGCCTTGGACAGGTGATAAGAATGCATTGAGAATGGGTGTTGTCCTTCACCTCAGCAAGCTTTGGCCAAGAGACAAGACAGACCTGTCAGAACCCTTATGTCATCTGAAAAGTCATAAAAATCACATGATAAATGTATGGGGTTGATACTTGGGGGAGTACATAAATGTGCTTGGAGACGCTGAGTACGTTAAACAGAAATCACAGTTACATCTCCATAGACTAAGTTGTCAGAAATAGAAAAAGAGGGCTGGCAGTGTGGCTCGAGTGGTAGAGCACCTGCCTAGCAAGCGTGAGTTCCTGAGTTCAAACCTCATTACCACCACGAATAAATAGATAAATAAATGGAATAGAAAAAGAACTTAGATGAACCTGGTGCTTGTTCTTTTTTGAAAGCAGCTTGTTGATTTGGAACCTGAGCTAAAGATATGGGAGAAGAATTAAACCAAATTTTGATATCAAATGCAGGAGTAGGGTGACATAAATTTTTATTGTTGCTTCTCTTTTATTGTTGCCAGTAAATACTTCCTACTTTCTGATTTCCCTGGATTGTGTGTGAGCAGTCCTGTGTTTCTAATTAAGAACTGGAGCTCTGGCTGCAGTTTGGAAGAGGTCATCACAGGGTGTGTCTGCCTTGGTGTCTCCTTCTGCTCTGCCTGCATATCCCTGGGAAAGAAAAAGCAGTTCGTGTATCACAAAGTAACCCACTGGTTCCTTTGCTCTGTGAGGTTCTCACACTGAACCGTGCTTGATATCACATGAATTGTGATGTCTGTGGGATTTTAACTGCTTTTATGTTGTATGTAAAAAGTAGAAAGTTGACTTACACCTTGTGTAACTCTTGAGCAGCCAGACTGCTATTTGGACAGATGCAGAGGTGTCAGATAAGCCATCTTCATTTGCATGGCTTGGGAGTTTGAAGTTTATTTCACCAAGTGGTATTTGAACTGGCTCAGTGCAGTGCTCACCAGTGACCTCCTGGTCACTAAATCCACTGGCCCTTCTTGGTCCTCACCCTGCCCCAGAACTCAGTGGCCAGTGATTTCCCTCATCTTTAGTTGCTCTCTTCCTTGGCCTCTTGGCTTCCTGCCAGGATACTCCTGTGTCACCCTACCTTCTTCTCTGGGGCTCAGTTCCTTTAGATTGCTCCTTCTTAAATTCCTTTTGGTCTCTTCTCATGGTGCCTTAAAGCAAAAGGTATGCAACCAACCATTGATTTTCTTGCTCTCCTTGGGTGATCTCACCTACGCACACTTTCAGTTGCTAATGTACTTAGTTTTCATCTAAGAAATAACCTACACCTGCCTGTGTTTCATTCCCAGCTCTATTGCTTACTAGTTGTGTGGTCTTGAGCGAGTTCCTTGAACTCGCTCTGGCTTGGTTTCCTTATCTATTAAATTGGGAGACCAATAATTAATCCCATTGATATGAAACATAGTGGCTGGCCAGTTAATTCCCCAAAACACACACTCAACTTTATGTGGCCAACGTGTACCCATTTAGGTCTCAGCTTAGATGCTACTTCTCCGGGAAGCCTTCATTGATATTCCAGATCTAGTTAGATCTTTCTTCCCCGTGCTCTCATGATGCAGTTCGAATGCCCTGTATCCCCATCTTGGTGTTTGTCGCATGTATTGCAATTGCTGACTTATCCACATCTCCCATCAACTAAGAGCCCTGGGAGGGCAGTGAGGCAGGCTGACTTGATTGTCACTGTGTCCCAGTATAGCGTAGCACCTGACTCATGGTTGTACTGGATTGGCTGCATGAGTAATGGTCACAGGGGTGGTCTGAGATAGTGGGGACCATGACATGAATTCCTCTATGGTCACATCCCCAGATTACGGAAGTGAGAAAACCCTATCACCAGATTTGTTGAGGCTGAGTAGCCTAGCCATCCTGGCTCTTATCACCTAACTCACAAAAAACTTATTGTAAGCCCAGGTTATTGTATTTAAAAATTTTAATGATGGCTATTGTATACTAACGAACAATTTTATGGGATCTGACTGGAAGTGTTATCGTGTAATGTGTGATGATGTTGTGAACCTGCCAACACGTGTCTTTGCAGCATGTAGTCAACCTAAGTCCCCAGAGCAGGGCTTTCCTCCTCAGTGGGCAGAGAGCTCGGACTCACTCTTTTCCTGTACTTGAAGGGCTGTTTTATGAGAAGGGATTTAGGATGATGGTCAGGACTCCAAGACAGGAAGCAACAGGAATGTAGGCCTCTCTCCCTTAGGACAAAGAACTTCCTAACTATAAAAGCTGCCGGGAATGAGTGAACCACTTGAGGGGAACACGTTCCTCTCCATCTGTTCAGCATGGTGGGGACCAGTCCTGGGAAGGGACATCCGGAAGGAGATGGATTCGTGGGAACTCCAGGATCCCTCTAATCCTGAGAGTTTAGCCGTGCCTTATTCACTTGAGGACCCTGAAGTACTGTGCCCAAATAAATGACTCTGGAACGCCAAGGTACTCACTAGCAAAATATAGCATCAGCTTAGAAATTTAAATCATTTGATGGCTGGTTCCATGCCATTTCTTGAAATGGGTGATTTTTGTTGTTACTGTTTTAGCAGTATTCGGATTTGAACTCAGGGCTTTGCACTTGCTAGGCAGGCACTCTGTCACTTGAGCCACATCTCTAGTCCAGAAATAGATAAAATTATTAGCACCACTGCCCAATAACTTTCCCTGTCTGGTCGTGTGTGTGTGTGTGTGTGTGTCTGTCTGTCTGTCTGTCTGTCTCCGTCTTGCCTTTGGCTTGGATGTGAACTGAATGGTGAAGATCCAGGAAGTGGCATTACTGAGTAGATTTGGGAGTAGTTTGTTCTCTTATCAGCATCCTCTGATTTGGTTATGATGTCTTAGGTTGGTTTTGCCTAGGTTGTCTTGGAAATATGACAAAAGTTATCTCCTCTGTGCCTCCCACTGTCAGGATCACGCCCACCCCCCTTGGAGAAGGGAAGAGCACGGTCACCATTGGGCTGGTGCAGGCACTCACTGCCCACATGAATGTCAACTCCTTCGCCTGCCTGAGACAGCCTTCCCAAGGACCCACTTTTGGAGTGAAAGGTACTTTACTTAGTCTACCTGTCAGAGCAAAATTGGGGACAGAAAAATTTAAAAAGAATGTCCTCCATGCAGATGGAGTCAAAATTTTTCAGAACAACTGGTGTCTTGCATCCCTCTCCACACAACCATTGGATGCGCAGCGGTCACCAAATTGATCCTCCTGAGAGCGAAGCATAAAGCATACGCAAGGGAGTGAAAGGCTCTTCAGTGAGCCCCCAAAGCCGTTCCTTGGCTCTGTGCTCAGGCCCCCTTCCTCAAGCACAGTCTTCTGCCTCATCTCTGCCTCCTTGGCCAAGTGATTTTAAAACTCTGCCCTTGATCATATTGGTGTTTTATCATCCCAGCCATGGTGGCAGGACTTTCTTGTAAACACTGAGACGCCCCTGAGGCTGACCCCCAGGTCTCAGCTCAAGGGGGTTGCTGTGTAGGGACTGAGCTGCTTTGGAGCTGGGCTGGCTGTGCATGGAGTTGTGATGAAATTCCTCTCTGGCTGTGGCGGGGCTGGGGTCTGGCTCCTGCCCCATGCATTACTCCTCTGCATTGATTTATCGTGAAGTCACCCCTTAGCTCACTCTACAATAGCACTGATTACTGCAATTACTGTGTGTTCTTGGCAGTTCATGGTTTTTAACCATATTATATTTATATTACTGTTATAAATATTAGTAACTCCTAACTCATTAAGTGCTGATAACTCATGGAGGTTCATACACTGTGTCCTAGATGAACAACAGGCTTGGAGAGAGGAGGTTGAAGTTTCAGTCACAGCTGTATCTCTTCCCGCTGTGTGACCCATAGCCAGTCAGAAGCTCTCTGAGCTGTGTCTGTGAAAGGGCAGGAAGGCTATGGTACCTTGTGGGTGAGGCTCACATGAGAAACATAGAAAGGGTAAATTGTAAAATGATGAGCAAGTGGATGAGATGAGCCTTTTTAATATAATAACCTAGCGTTTTGAGGGCTAAGCAGCCTGACAAATCTTCCCTAGTATTACCTAAAATAAATGGACTGAAGTTTAGAATTTGAAGTGATTTTTTTTTTTCTTTTTTTTTTTGCGGTACTAGGGCTTGAACTCAGGGGCTACACCTTGACCCACTCCATCAGCCCTTTTTTATGATGGGAATTTTTGAGATAGGGTCTCTTGAGCTATTCCCCCAGACTGGCTTTGAACCTCTGTCTTCCTGATCTCTGCCTCCTGAGTAGCTAGGATTACAGTCGTGAGCCACTGGTGCCTAGCTTACAGGTGAATTTTTAATAATATTTTTTGATACTTCAATGCGTGTGTGATTCAGATGAAGTGTGAGTACATAGACCCAATGATAAATTAACAAAACGATATTATATCCTAAGATAGATGTTAGTTTTTTCTTTTTTTTCCTGAGACAGAGTCTTACTTTGTACCCTAGACTGGCCTGGAGTTTGCAATCCTCCTCCCTCAGTCTTCCCAGTGCTGGGACTATGGAAGACTATGGCATGACAGTGCCTAACTACATTTGTGTTTTAAACAAAGAGATGGAATTACATAGTTGGAAACAGTGTAGACTTTTGTTTATTTGTTTTATTTCTGTTCTTGGGTGGAGCAGCTAAGTTTCTCGCTCCTGTTGGAATTTCACCTTGGACATAAGAGCATGCCTGTTGGGTGTGGGGAGCTGTGCCTCAAGGGCTCTGTCCATCCTGTGTGTCTGTGACTGGTGACTCACTGCAGTGCTATTTGCTCTTTATTTAGGAGGAGCTGCAGGTGGTGGATATGCCCAAGTCATCCCCATGGAGGAGGTAAGGCCAAGAGATACACGTCGATGGTCACTGTGTTGCCCATCTTAACATCTGTGGCTCTCCCTCATACAGCCCACAGTCAACATCCATGGTCCCAAAGCCCTAATGACTCAGAAAACCAAAAGCATTTTCTTAACTCAGGTGGTGTCAAAGCCAGGTATTGACAGTGGGAGCTGTGTATGGATTATGCAAACGCCACTCGGTGTGACTTTTCTCACCAGTGACCCGTTCTCATCTGTTCTGCTCTGTGCTCCAGTCTCATAGATCAGGTCCTGAGCTGTCTTGCCCAGGAGTGACCTCACAAGATAGTAACAGGATACAGGTCAGGTTTCACAAAGTTCCTCTGGCCTATGTGTGAAGAAAACACCCATGTCAGCCTCATCTGATTGCTACGAGTCTAATGAGGAGACTGCCGGGTGGCCCAGGGGACAGAGGTGGCAGTAAGGATGGAGAAAAGGGTGACAATCTAAGGCTTGAGTGCTGCTGTTTACAGATGAGACGTGAGTCCAAGGTTCTGGGTTGATCAAATCAATGGAATCATTTGTTAAAATGGAAAACCAGGGGTGATGTGATGTAACCTAATGGTCATGTGGCCTGAGCATAATTTTACATTTTGAAATAATTTTGTTCATGAAATGCAGTTTCATGGCATGGAGTTTCCCTCATGTGGTGTCATGTTGGTACTCAAAACATTTCTGATTCTGGAACATTTCAGATTTTTGGATTAGAAATGTGTGAGTGTGTTGCTTCTAAACTAATGATCCTTTGTGCATAGGGAAGTGGAACATTTCAGAAATATTTTGTCACTCCATTGTGACTGTTTAAGCCTTCTCTTGCTCCAAAGTATGTTTGATACAGGACTGTTTTCTAAATCATCAAGCAGTGCAGATGAGTCAAGTGAGTGGAAGCGAAGGAACCCAAATAAGAAACCAATGGTTAAGCCCTTTGCACGTTTCGCCTTAACCCGAGAATGGAGGGATTTGCCATGTGAGACTGCCCAGGGGTTCTTTGATGTCATGTAGAGAACCATGACATCGATTTTCTGATTTGGGCCATTTTGTGGACCCAGCTCATTATAAAGATATATTGTTAGCGTATTGCTGTATTGATTCAGGCAGTCCTTGAATACTGCCACGGCTGGGGGAAACAAATAGAAAGATACTGCGTTTCACTTAACAGTTCAACCTGCACTTGACCGGGGACATCCACGCCATCACTGCTGCCAATAACTTGCTGGCTGCTGCCATTGACACGAGGATCTTGCATGAAAACACTCAAACAGATAAGGTAAGAAGGATTCCTTCTTGAACATTTGGGGGAATCTTACCCTGTAATTCCTGGGTCCTTAAAGAGTTTATAGAAAAAGACTTTTAGAGTCTATGAGCCCTCTGAAATTTTACTTAAAAGTTTGTGAATTTTAGGGCCAGGCATGGTGGTGCACACCACTCAGGAGGCAGAACTAGGACCACTGTTCAAGGTCAGCTGGGGCAAAAAAAAAAAAAAAAAAATTAGCAAGCTTTCTGTGAAAAAACAAGCCAGGTGGTAGGGTATACCTGTAATCGGTATGGAAGACAGAGGTCCTCACCTAGCCTGGGCAAAAACTGGAGGCCCTGTCTGAAAGATAAACTAAAAGCAGTAAGGGTTGGGGCAGGACTCAAACGATAGAACTCTTGCCTAGCAAGCGTTAGGCCTTGTTCAAATCCCAGTACTGCTTTTAAAAAAAATGTGTATTTTATCTATGTCCTCATTTCTTGATTAGATTCTCAAATGGTTTTAACACTGCCAAGTTGTTGAGAAAATTATGTTCTATGATTTAAGCCAGGTGTTACTGGAGATGGCTCTTCAGTCTTAAAGCTACCCGATAGACCGTTCTCTTCATTCTAGTCCTAAATCCGGCCTCTGGTCTATACTGGAGGAGGTTGGCCAGGATTGTTTTTGGGATTGCATCTGTATGCACCACCTTAGATGTGCCTTAGAGAGCTGCTGGGCCTCACTGGTTTGCTGTCCAAGAGCTAACAACGGAGAGCAGCAGAGTTCCTGGTGCTAGTTTCTCACTGACACAGGCATGGATGAGAAGGGTACTTTCTGGCATATTTTAAAACAAGGCTTCTGATTTTCTCCACGGAAAGTAATCCCCTAATGAGTCCTTGGAACATAAGCCAGATAAGTATTTAGCTTGTCAGTTGTAAGGCCGCAGAGCAAGAAATACATTTATGCAAGCTCTCGGCAATTGCGTGACTTCAGCTTTTGTCATTTTTATTAAGATGATAGAATCAAAGTCTACATGGTTTATATTAGCCTCTAAATTTTAGGAGGGCCTGCTTGGTTATAAATATAATGAACTTTGTCATTTTCTTAGGCTCTGTATAATCGGCTGGTTCCTTTAGTGAATGGTGTCAGAGAATTTTCAGAAATTCAACTTGCTCGGCTGAAGGTAAGTTTCCAGTTAGAGGTTATTCAAAAAGAAAATATCCTTGAAACACATCAGGATTGCCAAAACCCGAAATTTTGAACTTGACTTGATTTTGGTTTTCAGATACTCTTTTGGGTATTAAACTCTAAAGAGACTGGAGAATATGTCAGACAGAGCACTGTATTAGACACCTAAGTCTGGACCCTAGAGTGGAGAGCCAGGTGAAGAAGTGATTAACTCTTTTAGGACTTGATCTTGTGTGTGAAATGAAGATAGCTTTGCTAAGCCATAAGTGCCCTAATCGACTAACAGACACAATCTGTATGCACCCTTCTCTTCCCGAAGAGAAGTGTTTTCATAAGTTCTAAATTTCTCAGAAATGATAAGATAACCTGGAAAATCCATCAACCTCAGTGTCCATTGCAGGGGGACGCTGCACTTGCACTTTAGAAAGCCATCTTAATTCTTGCCCATGCTATTTGCTGTTCTGTCCTACTAATTGTATCACTTCCCCTAGGTCTTTGTCAGGGACTAAAGTATAACCCGTCATGCTGTAACTTACAACCACTAGTTGGTATTAAGTGATTTTTAAAGATTCACCCCCTTAGCCAGGTATGGTGGCTCATACATGTAATCCCAGTACTCAAGAGGCTGAAGCAGGAGAATCTCAAGTTCAAGACCAGCCTAGGCTACATAGCAAGACCCTGTCTCAGTCCGCCACCCGCCCTTGGGCACCCCCCTCACCCCCCGCTGCCAAAAAAAGAAAAAATTCCCTCCCTTAGTTGTTACCAAGTTGTTACCAAGTTCTGTTTGTTGAGAACAGTGAGTAATTCCATCCTGTCCAGTTTCTATTTCCTGGAGCTTCTTTACTTTTTTCCCTCTGGAAATAGGGTCCAAACTTGCAATTCTCCTGCCTCAGCCTCCAAAGTTCTAGGATTATAAGCATGTACCACCACACCTGGCCAAAGCCCACTTTCTTAGGGTGTTTTCCTTACAGAAACAAATGCGTTAGGAATTTAGATTCTTTTGTCTTGTTTTGAGATTTAAATATATACATTACTTGAGCCGTTGGTATTTGTGTTTGAAAAGACCCAGTGCACTAAGGCATCAATTTAGTGGACAGCAGTTATGTCCCTTTGAGCACCTCACCCGATTCAAGGGTGTCCAGGTGTCCACTGAGCATTGCTAGCTGAACCCCACTTTCAGCTCTGTCACTTCACGGGCATCTTACAGAATTTCAGTGTCTTCCACTTGTAGGAGACGTTTGGACTGAAACAATAGTTTGTATGATTTGACCTAATCTATAATTTACTCAAAATAAAGTTTGATCTTGAGAGACTTTACTAATTATGGGGGAAGCAGAGTAAGAGGCATAGTTTTGGTTACCTTGTGGTTTCTCTTCTTTCCCATACTTACCTCATTTTTTTTTCTTAATCACTAGAAACTGGGGATAAACAAGACAGATCCGAGTGCACTGACAGAAGAGGAAGTGAGTAAATTCGCCCGGCTCAACATCGACCCCTCCACCATCACATGGCAGAGAGGTGGGTGCTGGGACCTTGCAGTGTGCTAAGGGCCCAAGTGGGGGGTGCTCGAGGCTGAAGCCCAGCCTGGGTTTTGATCCCCCTTCTACGTCCAGCACTGCCATCTTCTCTCTCTGCCATGGCCTGTTGCTTATACCAACCACTTCCCCTGCTCAAGCCCAGCCACTCCCCTCCCTCCTAAAGTCCAAGGAAGATTGCTTTAATTCTCTTCTGTTTCTTTCCTCCATGGCCTCTTCTCTCTGCATTTAAAAAATTTTATTTCTTAGTAGACTGGGATTTGAACTCAAGGCCCTAAGCTTGCTAGGGCTTTCCCCCCATTTCTCTGATATCCTATTTTACACTTCCTGCAGAGCTGGAATGACAGGAGCAGACAACCACAAGAAGCTTTTATAGCTTAAGATGGGGTCTCTCGAACCTCTTCCCTTGGCTAACCTCAAACCACATTCCTCCCAATCTCCACCTCCCGAGTAGCTAGGATTACAGGTGTGAGCCACCATGCCATCTAAAGACATTTTTTAAAGCCACGTCTCCCCTTCCTTCTCCTCTCACCTTTGCCCACTGCCCTAATTTCTTCCTCTCACTCTTTCCCACGAGCTCTAAGCAGCTCTCCCGTTTGTACTTCAAGTGCTGAGTTTCCCCCTAGGTCTGTGGGTGACTCCAGCCATTGACCATGTGTCCCTCTGATGCTTCAGACGGGACAGGCAGATTTCTGGGTAGCTCCCTCTTGTGCACCATGCCTGTCAGCTGTGACTGTCTCTTCCCATCGCCCACCCTGCCCCCTGGATCGCCTCTGCCACTGCTGCAAGTCACATGCTCTTTCAGAACCTACTTATCAGGTAACAGTCACTTTCCAGTACTTTCTCCTGCTTCCATTTCCCTCCCTACTTCAGTAGGCTCTTATCACAGAGATACTGTCCCCTCCTGTGTGATGAAGTCATCCTTACACAGCCTGGCTCTCCGACCACCACAGCATAGCTTCTGTCTGCTGTCTGTTCAGGAGGGCCTCCTTGTGCCTGTCCTTGCTCAGCCATCCCTGCCACCTCTTTCTGCTGGTCTTGCTCTTCCAGGTCAAGTCCAGCCTCACCCCCTCCTTAGGCTGCCGTCCTGGGAGTCCACTCAGCCTGGAGTTGAGTGTCTTCTCACAGACCGTGAGATGCAGGCAAAGCCCAGAGACCCAATCTTACCTCTACCAAGTGCGAGCCGCACAACTGCCCACTCAGTTCATTCATCTTTACGATGGAAGCAGGTTGAGTTTCCCTCATCTGAAATGCCTGGGACCAGAGGTGTTTCAGATTTCAGAAGTTTTTCGACTGGGGAGATTTGCGTATATATACACAGTGAGATGTCTTGGGAATGACACCCAAGTCAGAACACCTTATGCACATGGCCTGAAGCATCTTATACGACATTTTAAATAATGCTGCATATGACACAAAGTTTTGTGCTGTGGGATTGTCCGTGTATGCTGTCATGTTGACACAGAGTCCTGGATTCTGGATGCCGAACTTTTGCAGTGTAACATCAGCCCCCTCACAAGGGACACCACTGCACATCCTTTGCAGATTCAAAAGCACTTGCCAAAAGACCCTGAGACACCGTCACGGCTACACTCTATTATGTAGTTTCTCTGTGGTCTTTGTCTTCTGAACTAAGTGAAAATTTCCTTAGACACTATCGTGAATGTATTTTTCATTTAAAAATAAGTAGTGACTGGATTGGAGGCATGGTTCAAGCTATAGAGTGCCTGCCTAGCAAAGCAAGAAGCCCTGAGTTCAAACCCCAGTACTGCAAAAAATAATAAGAAGTAGCTGTCTGGGAGTGTGGCTGAAGGGGTAGAGCACATGCCTGGCAAGCAGAGCCCCTCCCTGCGTTCCACACACGCATGCGTGCGCTCACACACACGAGTGATAACGTTACAGAGATTTTGGAAATGTGTCAGAAGAATAAGAAGCATCTTGGCATGCTAATAACACTATTATTCATAGTTTTTGGTGCATCTAGTATTTCCATATAGCTCTGGTATGATTTATGTATATCGATTTTATATCTTCTTTGATTTTTATCATAAGCATTTTCTATTTTGTTGGCTCCTTGTTGTAATGGTCATTTTATTTATGCATTTATTTACTTTCAATGGTGCTGAAATCAAATCCAGGATCTCAAGCATGCTGCACAACAAATGTTCTCCCATCCACCTTTACCCCCACCCAGGATGGCCATCTTGAAATGGCTCTAGATTATTCCGTTTTGAGTGAACCACAACTTAAACATGCATTTTTAACAATTGACATAAGTATTTGCAACATTTTATTGAGGAGCCTACTTTTTCTAGAAAACTTTTTATAACTAGGAAAATTATTAAAATGTCATTCTGTCCAAAACGTGTAGCCAACCTTTTTGGGGCATGTCTGAGTTTGTGTTACTCTTCAAAACTATTTTGGAAGTCTACTAGCACAAGAAAAATTATGCAGGGGAAAATTGCTATGTTTTAAGCCAGGCATGTGACTATGCTAAGAGAGAGAGAAAAAACTTTTTGTAGTAAAAGTGATGGTAAAGTTTATTGGGAAAGGAATACGCTTTCCATAAACTGAAAGTGGGTCATCTCTAGAATGAGAACAAGAATTACGAAGAAATTTTTACACGAGTTGGTGTTCTTCCACACTTGCGATGGTGCTCCATCCTAGGCAGCCATCACAAGTAGAGGTCATGCCCCTTTCCATGTAGGGCCAACATGCCTTTGGATTCTCTCTGAAAGGACAGAAGGAGTCTGTGGTCACAAATAAATTTTAATGGAAGTGACAACTTTAAAAATTATTCCAGAGAAATACTAGAATTGTGTTACTGTTAAAAACACTAAATGCAGAAAACTGTGTCACTGTGGACAAGCCACCTGGGTCAGAGGAACGTGGACTGACATTGGATAATTAGCGTGGCTCTGATAACCATGAACTAACGTGAAAAGTAGAACCGCCCTGTAGATGAATTGAGGACGTGCAGAGTAGGCTTTTCTGCCTTCACCCTAGATAGAGTGTAACCCTTGTAATGGGATCATACATCACAGGTACTTCTCACACCTCCTCTGCATGTCAAATCCTGGTGGACTGAAACGACGCTGTAGAGTTTATCTTTTTAGCCTTATTCTTTTGCTTGCTTTCTCTTTGCTAAATAAAAGCTGGTCCATTGTTGACTTCAGAGAAATTTGATAAAAAGAGCGGTTCAGTCTGGTGCCAAGGTTGTATGTACTCCACATCAGGAAAGAAGGTGGCTTCATGCATCTGGGGAATAAAAGCAGTCACAAACAGTAATCCTGAGGAGCCGGCCTCTCGTTCTGCAGATGTCCTGCCTGTGTCTTAGAAAACACAAAGAGGCCGTGTGTGTTAGGTGAGGCCGTTAGTGTCTGGAGTGTGTGCCGAGTCAGGGAACAATAGAGGGCAGAGAGGGGAGAGGTCCGCTAGTGCCCGGATGTCAAGAAACATTAACACCCTTCCTCCACAGACACTCTTTGTCCCCAAATACATAATTCCTGTCACTGCTGTCATCAGTACCACATTATACATTAATAAGCTGGATCTCTGTTGTCATTGTGAATAGCTTGTTATTTGAAGCCACATAAATAAGGAAAGTCTGTCCTTCTGGCTTCGTTCCTTGGCATTGTGAATTTGATTTTTACTAAACGAAACCTAGTTTTCCACGAACAAAAATCTGAACCAGTGCAATTCAAACAAGCAAGAATTGTGCCTGCTCTAATGACAAACAGCTTTTCTCTCCATTACTAATTTGTATGCAAAGCACAAAAGTCACCATTTAAACCATCTCTGTGCTGATGGCGTTTTACTGTCACAGTGACTGTTCCGTCACCGCTGCTTACAACCAAAGCCCCGTCATCCTCAGAGAACATGCTGTGCCCATTAGAATGTAACTCCCTCTCTGCCCCTGGACACCACTCTTCTATTTTCTGCCTCCAGGAATTTGCCTATTTTAGGTACCCCACTTATGTGGGATCACGTGGTATTTGTGCTTCTGTGTCTGTCTTCCTTAACTATGCTTATTTCTATCACTTATCCATGCTGTAACATATATCAAAATGTTCTTCCTTTCTATGGCAGCGTAGTATTCCATAATACTACATGTGTACATACATGATGTGGCATGTCCAGTCCTATGGTGCTGGGCACGTTAGTTGCTGCAGTGACTAGCACTGCTGTGGCCATGGTGTAGAAATACCTGTCCAAGTTCCTGCCTTCACTCATTTCGAGTGATGCAGAGGAGTGGAATTACCAGGTGATTACAGAATTAACTTTTGAGAAGCTGGATTGACTTCTTGTTACTTGGCTGTCAGTGTAGACCATTGCCCTTTCACAAGTCCTTTTCCTTGCTGCCTATCCTGACGCACTCTGTGTACTTGGCTTCCTAAGGTCTCACCACTAGCACAGATTTTCTTGTTTGCTGGGCTCCTCAAGGGAAGAAGCCAGCCCCTTTCCCTTGTTTTCTGCTACTTCCTCAGCATTGGCCTGCGTGACCAGTCACATTTGTCGATTGAATGAGTAATCTGTTTTCTTCCAGTGGTGGACACCAATGACCGCTTTTTACGAAAAATAACCATTGGGCAGGCGAGCACGGAGAAGGGATGCTCCCGGCAGGTAGGTGACGCTTTCTTCCTGCAATGACTGTTCTCCTCCTCGGGTTGGCCACCCTCGGCTTTTCTGTGTTCAACCCTTAGCTGCTGTGCCAGTGGCTTTCCCACCATTGTCCTTGGCTGTCCAGGCGGGGGGAGCACCAGAAGCAGGAACAGTCTGTGTCTTCCTACCTCCCTTTTCCCGTGTGTTCCCAGTTGTTTCTGGGAAGAGCCACTCCAGGGCGGCCTTTCAATATAAGTCCTTGCATATTTTATAGGAAACCCACCACTTAGTGCTACATCTGCATAACAGAAAAGTGAAAGACATATTTCAAACACCTACTTATTAGGCTTAATAGCCTGGGGAGTTTTTCAAAGGAGAATGGCTTCTTACCCAAAAGCAGCATGTGGGAGAGAAATTATGAGCTGTTTTCATCTTAACGGGTCTCTGCTGTGGGTCAGTAGTGCTGAGGCTGAGGGGTATGAATCCCTTCCACAATGTTTTAGCCAGGCACAACAACAACCCTCTAAGGTTTTCTTTTTTTCTTTTTGTAATAAAGTATGTTTAAGATTAAACTACAGTTTAAGATTAATGGCCTTTACGTTAAGTTTTTATTAGTGAAGAAAAAGAAGAGTCACTTTTACTGTAATCACTAATCTTCATACCAGATGGACTTTTGGACATTTTAGAATTCTTTTTCTTTTTCGTTTTTTAAATTTTTATTGTTTTATTATTCATATGTGTATACAAGGCTTGGGTCATTTCTCCCCCCTGCCCCCACCCCCTCCCTTACCACCCACTCCGCCCCCTCCCTCTCCCCCCCACCCCCTCAATACCTGGCAGAAACTATTTTGCCCTTATCTCTAATTTTGTTGAAGAGAGAGTATAAGCAATAATAGGAAGGAACAAGGGTTTTTGCTGGTTGAGATAAGGATAGCTATACAGGGAGTTGACTCGCATTAATTTCCTGTGCGTGTGTGTTACCTTCTAGGTTAATTCTTTTTGATCTCACCTTTTCTCTAGTTCCTGGTCCCCTTCTCTATTGGCCTCAGTTGCTTTTAAGGTATCTGCTTTAGTTTCTCTGTGTTAAGGGCAACAAATGCTAGCTATTTTTTAGGTGTCTTACCTATCCTCACCCCTCCCTTGTGTGCTCTCGCTTTTATCATGTGCTCAAAGTCCAATCCCTTGTTGTGTTTGCCCTTGATCTAATGTCCACATATGAGGGAGAACGTACGATTTTTGGTCTTTTGGGCCAGGCTAACCTCACTCAGAATGATGTTCTCCAATTCCATCCATTTACCAGCGAATGATAACATTTCTTCTTCTTCATGGCTGCATAAAATTCCATTGTGTATAGATACCACATTTTCTTAATCCATTCGTCAGTGTGGGGCATCTTGGCTGTTTCCATAACTTGGCTATTGTGAATAGTGCTGCAATAAACATGGGTGTGCAGGTGCCTCTGGAGTAACCTGTGTCACAGTCTTTTGGGTATATCCCCAAGAGTGGTATTGCTGGATCAAATGGTAGATCAATGTTTAGCTTTTTAAGTAGCCTCCAAATTTTTTTCCAGAGTGGTTGTACTAGTCTACATTCCCACCAACAGTGTAAGAGGGTTCCTTTTTCCCCGCATCCTCGCCAACACCTGTTGTTGGTGGTGTTGCTAATGATGGCTATTCTAACAGGGGTGAGGTGGAATCTTAGTGTGGTTTTAATTTGCATTTCCTTTATTGCTAGAGATGGTGAGCATTTTTTCATGTGTTTTTTGGCCATTTGAATTTCTTCTTTTGAGAAAGTTCTGTTTAGTTCACTTGCCCATTTCTTTATTGGTTCATTAGTTTTGGGAGAATTTAGTTTTTTAAGTTCCCTATATATTCTGGTTATCAGTCCTTTGTCTGATGTGTAGCTGGCAAATATTTTCTCCCACTCTGTGGGTGTTCTCTTCAGTTTAGAGACCATTTCTTTTGATGAACAGAAGCTTTTTAGTTTTATGAGGTCCCATTTATCTATGCTATCTCTTAGTTGCTGTGCTGCTGGGGTTCATTGAGAAAGTTCTTACCTATACCTACTAACTCCAGAGTATTTCCTACTCTTTCCTGTATCAACTTTAGAGTTTGGGTCTGATATTAAGATCCTTGATCCATTTTGAGTTAATCTTGGTATAGGGTGATATACATGGATCTAGTTTCAGTTTTTTGCAGACTGCTAACCAGTTTTCCCAGCAGTTTTTGTTGAAGAGGCTGCTATTTCTCCATCGTATATTTTTAGCTCCTTTGTCAAAGACAAGTTGGTTATAGTTGTGTGGCTTCATATCTGGGTCCTCTATTCTGTTCCACTGGTCTTCATGTCTGTTTTTGTGCCAGTACCATGCTGTTTTTATTATTGCTTTGTAATATAGTTTGAAGTCAGGTATTGTGATACCTCCAGCATTGTTCTTTTGACTGAGTATTGCCTTGGCTATTCGTGGCCTCTTGTTTTCCATATAAATTTCACAGTAGATTTTTCAATCTCTTTAATGAATGTCATTGGAATTTTGATGGGAATTGCATTAAACATGTAGATTACTTTTGGGAGTATCGACATTTTTACTATGTTGATTCTACCAATCCATGAGCATGGGAGATCTCTCCACTTTCTATAGTCTTCCTCAATCTCTTTCTTCAGAAGTTTATAGTTTTCCTTGTAGAGGTCTTTCACATCTTTTGTTAGGTTTACACCTAGGTATTTGATTTTTTTTGAGGCTATTGTAAATGGAATTGTTTTCATATATTCTTTTTCAGTTTGTTCATTATTAGTGTATAGAAATGCTAATGATTTTTCTATGTTGATTTTATATCCTGCTACCTTGCTATAGCTATTGATGATGTCTAGAAGCTTCTGAGTAGAGTTTTTTGGGTCTTTAAGGTATAGGATCATGTCGTCTGCAAATAGGGATATTTTGACAGTTTCTTTACCTATTTGTATTCCTTTTATTCCTTCTTGCCTAATTGCTCTGGCTAGGAATTCCAGTACTATGTTGAATAGGAGTGGAGATAGTGGGCATCCTTGTCTGGTTCCTGATTTTAGAGGGAATGGTTTCAGTTTTTCTCCATTAAGTATAATGCTGGCTGTAGGTTTGTCATATATAGCTTTTATAATGTTGAGGAACTTTCCTTCTATTCCTAGTTTTCTTAGAGCTTTTATCATGAAATGGTGTTGGATCTTATCAAAGGCTTTTTCTGCATCTATTGAGATGATCAAGTGGTTTTTGTCTTTGCTTCTGTTAATGTGGTTTATTACGTTTATTGATTTTCATATGTTGAACCACCCCGCATCCCTGGGATGAAACCTACTTGGTCGTGGTGAATAATCTTTTTGGTGTGTTGCTGAATTCGGTTTGCCATTATTTTGTTGAGGATTTTTGCATCAATGTTCATTAAGGAGATTGGCCTATAGTTCTCCTTTTTGGAGGTGTCTTTGCCTGGTTTTGGGATAAGTGTAATACTGGCTTCATAAAATGTGTTAGGCAGTTTTCCTTCCCTTTCTATTTCATGGAACAGTTTAAGGAGGGTTGGTATCAGTTCTTCTTTAAAGGTCTGATAGAATTCAGCAGAGAATCCATCAGGTCCTGGACTTTTCTTTTTGGGGAGACTCTTGATTGCTGCTTCAATTTCATTTTGTGTTATAGATCTATTCAGGTGATTAATTTCCTCTTGGTTCAGTTTTGGATGATCATATGTATCTAGAAATCTGTCCATTTCTTTAAGATTTTCAAATTTATTTGAATATAGGTTCTCGAAGTAGTCTCTGATGATTTCCTGGACTTCCATGGTGTCTGTTGTTATCTCCCCTTTTGCATTCCTGATTCTACTAATTTGGGTTTTTTCTCTCCTCATTTTAGTCAGGTTTGCCAGGGGTCTGTTGATCTTGTTTATTTTTTCAAAGAACCAACTTTTTGTTTCATTAATTCTTTGTATGGTTTTTTTGGTTTCTATTTCGTTGATTTCAGCTCTTATTTTTATTCTCTCCTTCGATTTGTTTTGGGATTTGCTTCTTGTTTTTCTAGGAGTTTGCGATGTATCATTAGGTCATTGATTTGGAATCTTTCAGTCTTTTTAACGTATGCACTCATGGCTATAAACTTTCCTCTCAGGACTGCCTTTGCTGTGTCCCATAGGTTCCAGTAGGTTGTGTTTTCATTTTCATTGACTTCCAGGAACTTTTTAATTTCCTGTTTTATTTCATCAATGACCCATTTTGCATTAAGTAATGAGTTATTTAGTTTCCAGCTGTTTGCGTGTTTTTTGTCTTTACTTTTGTTGTTGAGTTCTAGTTTTATTTCATTGTGATCAGATAGTATGCATAGTATAATTTCTATTATATTTGCTGAGACTTGCTTTATGCCCTAGGATATGATCTGTTTTGGAGAAGGTTCTATGGGCTGCTGAGAAGAATGTGTATTGTGTAGAAGTTGGATGAAATGTTCTGTAGACATCAACTATGTCCATTTGATCTATTGTATATTTTAGATCTTGGATTTTTTATTGATTTTTTGTTTGGATGACCTGTTGATGATAATGGGGTGTTAAAGTCTCCCACAACCACTGTGTTGGAGTTAATATATGTTTTTAGGTCTTTCAGGGTATGTTTGATGTAATTGGGTGTGTTGACATTGGGTGCATACAGATTGATGATTATTATTTCCTTTTGGTCTGTTTCCCCTTTTATTAGTATGGAATGTCCTTCTTTATCTTGTTTGATCAATGTAGGTTTGAATTCTACTTTGTCAGAGATAAGTATTGCTACTCCTGCTTGTTTTGGGGGGCCACTGGCTTGGTAAATCTTCTTCCAGCCTTTCATCCTAAGCCTATGCTTATTTCTGTCAGTGAGATGGGTCGCCTGTAAGCAACAAATTGTTGGATCTTCCTTTTTAATCCATTTTGTCAAGCGGTGCCTTTTGATGGGTGAATTAAGTCCGTTAACATTAAGTGTTAGTACTGATAGGTATGTGGTGATTCCTGTCATTTAGTTGTCTTAGTTGTTTG